AGGCCTTTTACATATTCAAGAGAAGCTGGAAATTCCATTTTTATTTCTTAATGTAAAACACTTATTAGCTTCATATAAAATATATCATTAGGCTGTATCCAGCCCATGATCTGGTATTTAGACTTCTCTAGTAGCAGTGGTAATAACAATAATGATTAGAAGAAGCATTTGAGGTAAGAAACAGCATATTGGAGCTGGTGAGATAGCTCAGTGGTCTAAAGCACCTGCTTAGGAAAAGCACAGGGACTGCAGTTCAATCCTGTGGTGCTGTGTCAGCTGCACCCCCAAGGTGGGCTGAGCCTGCCCCCCCGCAAAAAAAAAAGCACATTGGAGTTTTGGAACACTAGAGGGTTGTTTTTGTTTTGTTTTAGGAGTAGGAAAATGTATTGGAGAAAAGGAGTGGGGAATACGAATGGGAAATGGGAAACAGGAATAGCTCCTGAGACAGGAGGGATCCCAAATGGGTTGTCCGATATTAGAGTTTATAGTCAGGTTTTTTTGATAGGCATGTGCATGTAAGAGTCAGAGGAAAAGGGGGTGTTACTTTGAAAAAAGAAATGTTGTAAATATGAATATATTCAAACTTGTGATGTTAATAAAGTAGCAGGTACTTTAAAGATATTCCTGCTATGAACTAGAAAGACAGCAGGGGTATGGAGAGATAGCTTTGGTAGCCTAAGCACCTGCCTGGCAAATACAAGGACTGGAGTTTGGTCCCTGGTACTGCATGCCATGCTGGCCAGAAACTCCAGGCAGGCCCTGCCAGCCACCAGAACCGGGTGTGGTGGCAGATACCATAATCGCAATGCTGGGGAGGCTGAGACAGGAAAATCACTACAAGTCCAAGCTGTGTAGCAAGACCCTGTACCAAATAAATAAATAGCAGGATCATTAATTCCTACTAAATGGCAATTGCTTTGCTTTCAGAAATAGTTCTCATTTATGTATTTTATGCAAGTAGAAATGCTTGTTATAAGGACCGCAAAATAGCTTAGCGGACTAAGTGCCTGCATAGGCAAACCTAGGGACTGGAGTTCCGCACACTGTACTGACTCTGCCCCTTGGGCGTGCTGAGCCGGTGACCAAGTCTGGGCCTGGTGGCACATGCCTATAAGCCCAGTGCTGGGGAAGCTGAAAACAGGAGGGTCACTATGAGTCTAAACTGCATAGTGAGACCCTGTACCAAATACATTAAAAAAAAAAAAAATGCTTGTTATAGAATTTTAGCATGCTAATTGACCTATCACTAGTAAAACCGTTTATCCTTAGGCTATAATGCAGTCTTTAGCATTTTTATCTAGGCTCGAAACATTGCATTCTAGAAATGACAAAAATGCAGAGATAGAGGACAGATCTGTAGTTGCTAGGGGTGTATGTGGGAGAAGTTAGATAAGTGTAAATGAGTATGTCAAGGCGTTTTGGGGGGAGTAGTAGAACTATATCTTGATTGTGGTTATGATTTGAAATCTATGCATATTTTCAAATTTATACACAATATACAGAAATTTCAATTCTGTATAATCATTAAAAGTTAAATGCATTTTTTAAAATTAAAAAATTCAATTATCTCAAAAGTTCATTTCTAGGTGAATATTACTTGAAGTATATGACATGAAATATTTTAAGTTTAGCTCCCTTTTTGCCTTCAGTGGAACCATTGAACAATTTGGTAAATCTTACATATCAATATAGAAAAATGGAATGAATTTGAATTTATTTTTCAATGTTGGGATCGTAGTAGTAAAATGAAATAAGTGCAGGGACACAGAGGTTAGTAGATTCAGGAGAATTTATATGTGGAAAACTGGTAACCCACATCCCAGAAGGATGGTCATAAAGCCTTTTTCTTTTTAAATACAAAGCAAAGGATAAGTTTAGTAGTTGGTTCCATTATGTGAAGAAGTGAGGAAATGATTTTGTGTGGACAGTGTATTTATAAAATATACTGTAAACTCTAAACCTATTTGACATATGATGTATCTTATTCTGAATTTCACTTCTGATTTTATTGAGGCATATTTATAGGCCAATTATATTAGGGTTTGTTTTGTTTTGTTTTTTTTGCAGAACCGGGGATTGAGCTCAGGCACTTGCGCTTGCCAGGGAAGCACTTTTTCCCAATTGTATTAGTTTTTAACGTATAAATGTATCATGAATCAAGCATAGAACCACACAAATTGCAATCAGTATCCTACTTTGAATGTTCATGTGTTCCTAAAAAAATGTAACTTAATTTTAGAAGGCAAAATAGATTACCTAATACAAAGGGCCATTTTAATACTGCAAAATTAAAAAGTAAAATACAAAATCCTCATTCTTTTAGCCACAATTGTAGGTAAATCTTGCCTTGTATGCATGCTTTTTCATTTCATTCTTCTTTTCTCTTTTATGTACTGTCCCCACTGCCTGTAATCCAGTGGTCATCAGTTAAGTTACAGAACAGATGACTACAACATGCCTAGAGATATCTAATTTTTTTTTTGTTTATATTGTCTTACATTTCTTACTCCTAGTAGCATCTTAAAACTTTTATGTTTTCCATTTTTTAAACTTTATTTTCTTTTTAGACCAGGTCTCTTCATATAGTTAGCCTACCCCAAGGTGGCTCAAAGTGGCAGTGATCCTCCCGCTTCAGCCTCCCAGCTGCTGTGATTACAGGCATGTTCCATCACATCCAGCTATGGTGACATAGCATAAATCATTGCCTCAGAATGGAGATATATGTGCATATCTACAGTAAATTTTGTGCTTAGCCAGAGCATATTTATTTATTTGTTTGTTTGATGTATTTAGTACAGGGTGTACAGGGTTTCACTACGTAGATCAGACTCATAGTGATTCTCCTGTTTTCAGCCTCCCAAGCACTGGGATTGCAGATGCACAGTCTCAATCATCTCAGTGTGCCCCGGGGGTGGGGCTGGCACAGCGCACCAGGGATTGAACCCTGGCCGCTACACTCTGCATAAGCAGGCGCTTTAGCATATTTATTTTTTAAAAGCAAATGATTTCCATCTATTCAGTCACAAAAGTCCCAGGATTAGCATGAGAGTTTGGAGAACTGAAGCTGTTGGCTCCTTAGCTTCTTTGTTATGTTCTGGGCTGCATGTGAGCCTGATGTTTTGCAGCAGCATGGCCCATAGAGGAAGCCACCTGCTTCATCTGGTGTTGATTTAAAGACATAATAGTCTTTTCAACCCCTGGGAAAAAACCTGATGTTACTGGCCTTAATAAAATGAAATAAAATAATATGAGATCTAATATATAACACCACCATTAGTGGTTAGGAACTATAAGTAATTTGGAAGGTTTCAAGATTCATTTTATATTTACTCTTTTTGCATTAAATGTTGTCTTTGAAAAATGTAATCCCCTAAGTAAGATTATTACATTGTGGATATTTTCAGCAAATGCTTAAGAGAAATATTTGTGAAATAAAAGAAAGATTTATTTCTGCTATGATTCAGCTGGTAGCCCAGTGTCAGATGCACACTATTACTGTTTCAGTTTTCTTTACAGTGAAATTGAGAGCCTTGAACAGGGTGGTGGGTATTCCAAGTTCTTGAGGTTCTAACTGTTGAAGTAGAGGACTATGCGAAGAAGAAGGTAAAGGACAGCCAGACTCTCATCTAAAACAAAAACTGAACCTTTTGTTTTCTCCTGAATTCTAAACTAAAATTGATTTTCTTACTGTAACAGAGAGCTAACAGGAGAGAGAACCCAGTCTCAGTTAAGGATATTTGTAACAGACTGTGGACTTAAATGTTTCTACCTCTTCTGACAGTGGAAGAGGGTGGGTGACACAAAGCATCTGAGGGTCTAAACAAAAGCCTTTACAGGTTTAAGGTTTTTTTTTTTTAATATAATCTAATGTTTTATCACAAACTCCTTGAAATTGTCACCTCCTCCGTAATATACTTATTTTTTTGTTATTAAAATATTTCCCTGTAAGTTACTAGATACGAGGGATTGTTTCAGAAGTTGTGTAAAATTTGTTTATCCTATCAATTTGTGTATCCTTTGGGATACCATCAAAGGGGAGATGGAGGTAAGAAGAGGGAGTATATAGTAGGCACTTTAAAGAAATGTAGTCCCAAAATCTGTGTTTTACACCTTATGGTTGGAACTAAAATATGTTCTCTTTTGCTTGGGTATTTCTGGGTAATGGACAAGAGCACCTACTTGGTCTGTGTATATCTAAGCATTTAGGCAATATAAATGCAAAAAATATTCTTGCTTTAAAATTAGACCTAAGGAGCCGGGGAGATAGCTCAGTAGAATATAAGCACTTGCCTGGCATGCACAAGGTCCCGAGTTCGGTCCCTGGTACCGCAAAAAAAAAAAAAAGAAAAAGAAAAAGAAAAGAAAACCTAGACCTGAGTGTGAGTCCCACATGTGGCACTTTCTAGAAGTAGGAGTAATAATGCCTATTTTTGTAATTTAAATATTTTAATCAATTATCTATCTTACTTTTAAAGACAAGATCTCATTGTGCAGTCCAGGCAGGCCTTGAACTCATTGTGTAGGCCTTAAACTAGCGGTAATTTCATGCCTCAGCATCCCTAGTGCTAGGATGACAGGTGTGTGCTGTGCTATCAGGCCCAGTTTTGTGACTGATTTTTGAGAGATAATGAAGGTTACCAGAATTTTTGAATGAAAGCTTTGGCTCTGGGGTCCCAGCAAATCAGGTTCTGCTACCTGTCCCAAAACATCAATCAAGGAGATCAGTGGTGGTAGACAGCAGGAAAGGAGCTTTAATGAGCATGACCATGTTGGAAAGAATAGACAAAAAGGATAGATATGTCTATTATTTATTTTATTATTTTATGTATTTAGTACAGGGTCTTACTACACAGTGATCCTCCTGTTTTCAACCTCCCAAGCACTGGGATTGCAGCCATACACCACCATGCCTAGTCTCAATCACCTCAGCATGCCCCCTAGGTGGGGCCCACACAGTGCACTGGGAATTGAGCCCTGTTACCTGGGTCTGCCTAAGCAGGCGCTTTAATCTACTGAGCTATCTGGCCAGCCCTTAGATATGTCTTCACAGTTTGGTATGGTAAGAAAAATGATTCATGTAAAGTATATTGATGTTTATGGCATATGGTGTGCACTGAATTTATAGTAGCCAAGCACAATGCTGCATATCTATAAGCTAAGCTTCGGGAGGTTAAGGCAGGAGAATCACCAGTTCAATGCCAGCCTGGACAATTTAGCAAGACCTGTGGCCAAAACAAATGGAAAAAATGAAGGGCGGTTCAAGACATAGGTAAATGATAGAGTGCTTGCCTAGCATACTTGAAGCCCTGAGTTCAGTTATCAGTACCAAAAGAAAAATTAAGTAAATGAAAAATAAAGTAATGCCTCTAGTTTTACTATTATTTTTGAGCACAGTATTTAACAGACTCTTCTAGACCATTATTCACTCCCACCACTAAATTTGTCTGAAGGTAATGGCTAATGGTCCAGCTATCTTTCACTGAGACAACCTGACAGTGCTGTGTGATCCCTATTTCATACCTAGAGAAGGCTATGCTTAAACAGATTAAAAGCATTAAAAAATTTAGAAGGGGAAATCTCTTGTAAACCATCATCTGTTGTTTATTGTCTGGCTTGTTATAACTGAGAGAGCATGAAAGTATGACTACTGTATATTATGGGATATGGAAATCATATTCTACCCCTAGAACTTTCCTTGAATAAAATGGCATAATAGGCTTTTTAAATTCAACTCAGTTATATACTAAATGAATGTAATGCTTTTTTTCCTTGTTATGTGCCACTCCTTATTTTGGATCTATCTAATGTACGTTTAAAAGTTTAGTATTGTTTTATCTTTTGTGCCTGGAATGGTGCCTTACGCATAATAATAAATATGCATCTAAAAGGAGTTTTTTGTTTGTAAATTGAAAAGTTTTATACAAAATTATTTAGGATCATATAAGTTATTTCATTTTAAAAGTTACTTATAGATTTAAAATATTCTTAATTTCAGACTTTCTTTTTTTCTGGGGAACTGTATTTTTAATAACAACAACTTTAGTTGCCCTTCTGAAAAAAGAAAACAAAGAAGTATCAGTAGTAAAAGAAGAAACACAAGGAATCACAGATACATACAAGCTGCTTTTTGCAATTATAAAAATGCCAGCAGTACTGACATTTTGCCTCCTGATTCTAACTTCAAAGGTAAGAAATGTATGAAGCGAATATTGCAATGATCAATGTCATGGACTGCGTTCAATGACTTTGTATCATCAATTTCTTTTCTACTGTCATTAGAATTTAACAGTGAAAAACAATGTTTATTAAATGTATTTGAAAAGATGTAATCACATCAAAACAATGCCAGAGTAAGCTAAATATCTTGGGAGCCTTGCAAAAAATTATTAGAAGAACTGCTAATATCTAAAATTTTAATTAACAGTATTAATGTTTGGAGTGGAAATGACTGGCTTTGAAAAAGTAATAACTGTTGTTATATTGAATATGCCTTTAATGTTGGGATAGTAAAATTATTTACTGAGAATAAGGTTTATTGAGCCAGGCAGATAACTCAGTGGCTTAAGCGCCTGCCTGGCAATCTCAAGGTCCTGAGTTTGATCTTCAGTACCAAAAAAAAAAAAAAAAAAAAGGTTTACTAATATATGGAAGTGTATCAGTATTAGAAGTAAGTCTATTTAAAAATCCATTGAATTTGGATTTTTGAGACAGGATCTTATTGTATATTCCTGGCCAGGCTTGAGCTCATTATGTAGCCCAGGCTGGCCTCAAACCTGTTGTGATCCCCATCTTCCTAGTATTTTTTTAAATAGTTAAAGGAAACAATGCTGTTGACTTTTATTCTGTATTAAGATCTTTTCATATTTCTAAAATGCTTTTTTGTGTGTGCATGTGTATGATCTTGGAGATTGCACCAAAGGTCTTCATACTGAGCTATTTCCCCAGAACTTTATTATTTTTGAGACAGGTTCTTGCTAAATGGCTAAGGTGTCCAGGCTAAGCTCAAACATGATCTTGCTTCACCTTCCCAGAGTGCTGGGATTCCAGGGGTGCACCACCACCCAGCTAGTTCTAAAACAGTTTAGAAGTTTTATTCTAAGAGAAAGATAAGTATGTTTTGTTACAGTGAGCCATTGCTATCTTGGAATTAATAGTCCCAAATTTAGAAATTTATAGGATTTTCATTTTATATATTTAAACCTAAGTATATAAACACTGTACAGGTGTCTTGTGATAACCTCAGAAGAAACAGCTTCATTTTTTTAAATTTTTTATTTATTTATTTATTAGAGAGAGAGAGAGAGAGAGAGAGAGAGAGAGAGAGAGAGAGAGAGAGTGTGGTGTGTGTGTGTGGCCAGCTCAGTCCACCAGGGGGCGGGGCTGGCTGGCATGTGGTGCTGGGGGATCGAACCGCGCTCCCTGATGCTTTGCTAAGCTTGTTCTAAGTAGGTGCTTTAGACCACTGAGCCATCTCTCCAGCCCCAACAGCTTCATTATTTTTGTTTTGAATGTTTTTCCTCCTCTTCAGTGATAGGAAAGGAAAGTTTAGAAATGCTGAACAATTAAAGAAATATATTATCTCATGATATCATTTAGAAGGAAACATCATCAGCGTTCCGGGCTGGCTTTGTACTATTGTAGCCCAGGGTGGCCTAAAACTTGTGGTGATCCTTCTCCCTCAGTTCCTACCTGCCAGATCATAGGCATGTGCAATCACACCTGACTGAAGGATACTTTTTAATAGCAACATAGTAGTCATAGTGATGTAAATTTGCATAACCTACTCAGGCATTTTTCTGTTTATATTTAATTTGCTTATGTTTTTAATTATAAAAATGTTCTGGTGAACATTTTCATGCATAAGCCTTTAATATTCTGAATATTTTTCAATAAATTTGTAAATGGGAGATTAGTAGGTTAATGAATATGATTACTGAATCGTTTAGTTTTTATTTTATTTTTTTGAATTGTTTTAAAAGGTTGTACTAATTTATACTATCCCTAGCAATGTATAAAGAGGTATTTCAATTACAGAGGTGGTAATCCTATATTGTTCTTCTAAAGTAAACTCAAAATGACATTTCTCATAATTTTTAATGCTATAAATTGATTTTCCTGGTCTTTAAATTTTATATAAATGAACTGTGCACTATATATTTTTTGTGTAGTTTGCTCATATTATTATAACAATAGTCTGTTCATTATGTGGCTATATAATATTCCACTGTATGAATAAGCCACTATCCCTTCTGCCAGCAAATGTTTAGAGCTATTATGAATAATGCTTCTGTAACATTCACATAAATGACTTTTGTTGGACATAGTTATATGTTTCAGGTGGGTAATTCCACATAGGCATGAAATTACAGGGCCCCAGGAAATATATAGAATATACTGCTGGTTTTCCAAAGCTATTGCAGTCTTATGTACCTTCAGCAGTGTAAGTTGACCGCATTATATCCTTGAGAGCATATACCATCTTTTAATTGTCAGCGTTTCTGGTGTGTTGAAACATATTGTTATGGTTGTGACTCACATCTCCTGAGGATTAAAGAAGCATGAATATCTTTTCATATTATTATTGCTCTTTGAATATTCAGAGTAGCCTTTTTATATTTATAAAAGAAAAAACATTTTGGATATAAATTTTTTAATATGCATATTACAAATATCTTCTAACATACAAATTTTAATGAATGGTAAGGTCAATTTGAATATCTCATTTTAACAAAGAAAATAGATAAAATATAAGTGAAATTTTTTGCAGGGTAAACTGAAATACCCTTGACTTTTAATATTTTTTAGTGAAATATATTCTTTGGTACCATTCAAAGAAGTTGAAACATATGCTATTTATATTTTTAAAAAATATTCACATAGGACCAGGGAGATAGCTCAGTAGTCTAAGTGCCTGCATGGCAAGTGCAGGAACTCGGGTTAGCTCCCTGGAGCCACATGCTGTGCTGGCCTGGTCCCACCATGCCGGCCACTGAAACACTCTGTGTGTGTGTGTGTGTGTGTGTGTGTGTGTGTGTGTGTGTGAAAATTTACTTGATGAAAATCTTCATCAAGATTTTTAAATTATTGACACTTAGCTCTACTTTTTTTATTCTGTAGATTTTCTTTTCTCTATATTTCAGAGTAATTTCATGTTCACACATTAAAATCTAACTATTTCCTATAAATGAAACTTTTAGTAGACTATAATTCAAAAATTTTGGAAGTTTAAAATTATTATAACATTAACTATTCATTGCCTTATCAAAGATTTACCAGTTGTAGCAATAACAGCCTTTATAACTTTATTTTTCTCCTGGCCAAGGAACCAATCTAGGATCACATATTACATTTGGTTGGTATGAGTCTTTGTTCTTCATAACCTTGACACTGGTTAAAAATTCCAGTTTGGGGATCAGAAGCAGAATAAACAACAGAAAACCCCTCAAAGAATACATGCCAGTTTTTCTGTAGAATGGCTTTTCATTTACATTGGTTCTATTTCTTCATGGGTATATGGCAGGCATGTAACAAGTAATATTTTGATGTCTTAAAGGAATTATAGGAGCCGTGCTGTGTTCCCCTATCCCGTTAATTATTATTCTTTTTTTTTTTTTTTTTTTT